ATCATATAATTCTTGTATAGTAACCCTAGCTCCTAGTTGGCCCATTACTTCATGTATTTTGATTCCCCCTGACCCTCCATGTATGCTGTGAATCTGTGAACTCCTATCCACATAACGTGTACTGCAGGGTCCCTGCACCCAGACGTCAGTACTCTACCCTTTTTTTTCCGGGGACTTTCCTGGTAGATAGAGGATATCAGACATAAACTTTGTAAACCTTACATCATGTGTCAAACTCTCAACTGCCCCAGCACCGTGCATGAATAATCACACGGAAAGCCTTTCTCGTCTTAATGTTAGAGAACACCTGCCCCAAAAGTAGTACAGGCGTTAAACCCTAAACCCAAAAACCTGTAAACCCTTAACCTTTAAACCCTTTAAGGTGGACCCAGAAGATCTCAGCGCCTCGCCACGCAAGCTAGAACACAGAAATCATAGATAACAAGCCACAAAATCAGGTGCGCAACCCCAGAAGACTCTGCCCCAAACCTCAGCCCGACACCCAAAACCCAAAAGTAAGGGAAGCAAACAAGCCAATAGATGGATAGGCACATCAAGTTCAAAGCCCTTTATATTATAATAACACAGGAAAGTTGGGGACTCAAAATGCTTAGTCTCATGCTGTTACCCCCCAAAGAACTCGTTGATCCCAAGGTCGGCAGTCTGCCTCGCCAAAGTCCCGGTGCTTCAATGTGTGGCGACACAGTGCGTAGGCGGCACCAAAGAGGTAGATGAAAAAACACCTGAGTAGCTGGTTGAACCTAGGAATATAGGGATAATGGAAAAGAAAATGGAAACTACTATATTATAATAGGGTATATATTGGGGTTATATTAAGTAGTGTTGTTTTGGTGGTTGAACCTAGTAAGATTACATTGCTTATATAAAATACTATACCCCAAAAGGAGGATAGAATCTTACTCTTAAATGGGTACCATAGTACTCCCAAATAAAATACTACTCTCCTGGGACTTTCCAAGCCTAACCTCCCCCCCGGAAAAGGGAGGGTTTGGGGTTCAGAGTTTAGGGTCTAGGGTCCCAGTAAAGGCGGGATCACACAAGAGGAGCCTTCACGAGGTAGGCGTATTACGAAGCACTACCTACACCCCAAAAGTATGTAAAATAATAGCCCTAAACCCATAATAACAGCCATAACGGCCATTCTTTTACATACTTTTCAAACGAGGACGTGCACGTTCCACGTAATGACATATGAAAAAGAACCACGCTCTGACCATTCAAGTACCGCGATACGCAAATGCAAGAACCACGCCAGGGTCACGTCTATAGTGATGTGTCGCGGGCTTGCCGCAGGTGTGCCGCCAGGTGTGCCGCAAGACTGCTGTGGGCGTGCCGCGGTGTGGAGCGGGTGCGCCACGGGCCTCAAAACAGGGACCCCTACTGCACTTGACACTCGGGATGTGAACTTGCCGCTGGTGTGCCGCGGATGTGCCGCGAGTGTGCCGCGGGCTTTGCGGGGGGTGTGCCGCAGGGTGTGCCGCGGGTGTGCCGCTGGTGTGCCGCAGGTGTGCCGCAGGTGTGCCGCTGTGACGCGGGTGTGCCGCGGGTGTGCCGCGGGTGTGCCGCGAGTGTGCCGCGGGTGTGCCGCAGGGTGTGCTACGAGTGTGCCGCGGGTGTCCCGCTGTGACGCGGGTGTGCCGCGAGTGTGCCGCGGGTGTGCCGTGGGTGTGCCGCAGGTGTGCCGCTGTGACGCGGGTGTGCCGCGGGTGTGCCGCAGACGTGTCGCGGGCTTGCCGCGGGTGTGCCGCCAGGTGTGCCGCAAGACTGCTGCGCGCGTGCCGGCCGAGGGTGCCTTGCAAAGGCACCCCGCCACACCTCTTGAGCTGATTAACTCGATGTCGTTGTTGTTGTTGTTGTTGCTGCTGCTGCTGCTGCTCTTGCCTTCTTTAACGTCTCTGGTTTATTGGTTGAGGTCGTGCACGTTCCACCGGGACTGGAGGGACATGGGCGTACACTATCTGCTACTATCTGCTATGACTACCTGCTAATATCGTGAAATGAGCAAAGGAGCAACGTAGTACTACAAGTGCAAAGCACTGTTCCAATTGTTGTTGCGCCGTTCTCTGAAGCACAACGTGGTTCCAACCCACCCTAATACTTTTCAGGTTTAGGTAGTGTTATTGATGATCGTTAACTTCAGTGTTTTCCTACCCGGAACCCTCATAGAATCTCGACCCTCACCAAAGACATCATCAGAGTGCGAGCTGCTGGGATAAAGGGTCGTATGAGCCTGAGCTATAGTCTAAACTCCTAGTATGCCCCTTTTTAATAACCGCTATAGTACTCCCCTATAGAACCTCCTGTATTCCCCCGTTTAAGGAGTTTAGGCTACAGCTCATATTGGATTGTATGGCAAAGGCATGGTGGATGTGCTAAATCGGCGCATCGCCTGCGCTGAAGCTCAACACAGGAACACATGGGACGCCTTTCTTTGTTGAACCACGCTATCTTCTTCCCAGCGAATACCATACGATATTGGCGACTATGGTACCCCCCTCAAAAAAGTTCATATGACGCCAGAAATTCAACAACAAACGTGAGTTGCTTTTTTGAGGGTTCCGCGTCTGTGTAATTCAGACTTAAGGCCCGTGCATGCATGAATGCCAGACAACTCTTTATTCACGGCCACAGTACCCTAAACCCTAGCCCCTAAACCCTAATTCCTGAACCCTAAAACCCTAAACCCTAAAACCCTAAACTGCAAACCCTCATCCATAAACCCTCAACCCCTAAACCCTAAACCCCCAAACCCAAAACCCGAAAGCCACAGGCTACCATCCCCAGGACCAATCTGGAACCCCACATGTAAGCCCTTACGGGCTGAAGGACTCAAACAATGGAGTAGTAGGGTGGTATTTGGGACCTAAATCCCCAATATTGGGACCTAAAGCCCAAAGATTTGGGTCCTAGGACCCTTAAGGGGCTTCTGTTGGGAAGCTGTCTTTCTGTTGGTTGTTGAAACTTAAATCTTGGGTAGGGTTTAGGGTTTAGGGTTTCGGGTTGGAGTTTAGGGTCTAGAATTTAGGGTTTAGGGTTTCGGCTTTGGGTTTAGGATTTACGGTTTGGGATTTAGGGCTTAGCGTCTATGTTGGGTCCATCCACCACCCAGTAGTGATGACCACAAGGAACTATTGCGAATATATTAAAGCAGTATTAACTCACATATTCAGGAGCTGTGACTGTAAGGGGGATTGACCTAAGATAAGAATATACTCTTCTTTTCCTTTCGGCACTACCTTATAATTACTAATGATACGTGAGTAGTGAATGAGAGAATGTAATCTATAGGGCTTATATTCCCTTAATCCCTGCTAACCATTATTAAGTACGACGGTATGTTGGGGACTATGCTGGCCGCATGTACAAAACTGCTCGTTTGGGGTTAGGTGTTGCTTTGCGAGAGGTAGCAGTTCCGGCGAGACGCAAGACCAACGCCAAGATCATCACAGCCGAGGCATCAGTGATAACTTCCTGGGTCACATAGGAGTTGGGATTCTAAGTGTTTGATGCAGGGTTTCGCGTCGTATTTAAAAATACTGGTGCTTAAGGAGGAGTAGGGTAGTAAATATCGGGCTGGTATAAGAGATGATAGAGCGATTGTTATGTGAATCCATTGCCACATTCTTCCTAGAGCGCTAGCAAGTTAAAGGCACCCAAGTCATGAATGAACAGGTCTCCTGATAAAGCCACACATGAAATCGATGACTATCCATTCTTGGACCCTGCACCCACCCAGATGGGAGTTTCTTCCTTATTGGGTTTAGTCGCACAGCAGAAATTGGGGCTAGATCCAACAATAACCCAGATTAGTCCTTAACAGCCCTTTCAAATTCTTAGTACGATATTCCGCAAGATGTTCAGGCCTCCACATACAGCCCCATATAGGCTAGACTCTGCAAAGAAGTTCCACTTCATTTTCCATCTGCTCGGCCATTTGATTGTTCAAACTATCTCGGCGCCTACTGCAACTCTTACACCCTGAGCCCTAAACACAAAACCGTCAACCGGAAACCGTATTAGGAAGCGAACTTGTCATTCTGAATCCTAAGCTCCAAGACCTAAATTGGGGATGGAACCCTAAGTTCTAAACTGGAAACCCTAACCCCAACCTCACATTGCCACCCAGCTTCGCTTGGGCAGTCGTCTTGCAAATGCTGGAATTTCCTTGGAACCCCAGGCGGGCTTCAGACCCTTCCTGAAATTCTTTCTTAGGATGCCTTTGGGGGACGCCCTGGGGACTCCACACACGGGGGTCCCATGTTGGGGGGGCCTTCGGGGGCAGCAGTGGGGCAATAGGGAGTCCTGGGCTGTGCGTACCCCTTACATGGGACCTCTTTAACATTCCTCACTATTTTTGAGATACTCCCGTATGGTCATCAAGCAGTATCTCACTTAAAAATACTTCTCACCACACTCCTCCCCCGAACTAACATGGAACACCCCAAAAAGGGCCCTACAAAGACTGCGGTTCGTTCTGAAGGTTCATGGGACTAGACCTGTAACCTTACTTATAATTTGGGTAACCTACATAAGCCCAGTTGAGGAGGATATAGGTCAGGCTATGAGCCCCATGAATAAGTTGCCACTAAGTCCCATGAACCTTCAAAACTCTAAACCCTAAACTACTAAGTCCCATGAACCTTCAAAACTCTAAACACTAAACCTACTAAGTCCCATAAACCTTCAAAACCCAAAACCCTAAACCTACGAAGTCCCATGAACCTTCACCTCGGGTTCCATGTTAGCTTGAAGGGAAAGAAAGACTGGGTTGCTGTTAAGGAACTTAAATTAAGTTACCATAATGGGTATATATAGTAACTAATATGGTTCCCCCAACATAATAACTTAATTTAAGTTCCTTAAACCCTATATTCCCCCAGTTTCCATTTCATTTTCCATGTTCTTTTCCATTTGATTCTCCATTATGGGGGGTTATATGGTAACTTAATTTACTAGTAGGTTCCTTAACATCAACCCAGGACAGCCTGGGATTCTGGTCGGCGCCTACCGGCTTTCCTGCGTTCTGCCGCTTTGGCCGTGCGCGGCAGGCGGCTTCCCTGCGCGGTTTCGCCCGAGATGGGCCATTTCTGCAGGCTGTTCTGCCCAGCCACGGTGATCCGATGCATTTTGCCTGCAAGAAGTGCGGTGAGCTTTTGGGTCGTAGCTTTTCTGCTTTCCATTAAGGTACTTCGACAATGACCACCAGCGCCAAGAGGCCTTCAATCAAGCTGCCTCTGAGCTGGAGGGGCATCGCAGGTGAGACCGAACCTTCTGAAAAACAGCTCCTCTGAGCAGGCGCAGCCTTGAGCTTGCTCGTTGAGCACGACAAGCAGCTGTACAGTCAATTTTGATTTCGGCATCCCGTTCCTGGGTGCTGCTACACTTCCTTCCAATACCGCACGCATGACTTTAAGATCCCTTGAGTCTCCTGCGCAGCACCTCTAAGCACGATGCCGAATGCATCTTGTCTGAGCATCCTGTGCTGCATGCTGACCGTTTGGTCCCCATGCGCACAGCTGTTTGGGAAAAAGGGAAGCGCATCAGGTGCTGTAGTTCCATCTGCCACTCTGCTCGTCAGCAGCTGACTGGAATGGCTCGCCACACAGCTTGGCAGGTGCTCTTAGGCACTGCGACGAATGCCAATTTGGTTCTTCAATCAGGTTGCTGCACTCGTCTCGTAGCCGCGTGGGTTCAGTGGACTGTTTCTTCCAAGGGCAGCCTGAAGGCGTGGATGTGGGCCCGCAGCGTTTGGGCTATGCGGTTCTTGGTTGTGACTGTGTGAACGACTGTGTCACGTCCGTGAAGTCGCGCATGAATTTCCATTGCTTTGGGATACCCTGCAGTGGCTTCGTCATAATTGCAAGTTTAGCGCGCAGCCGGAAGCGAACACACAACCTGAATAACTTATTCGCCCTTTCGATATCAGCCCTGAATGCACTAGACCCCAATGTCTAGATCGCTGCTCTCAGCACTCATCCGCACTCATTGTCCTCAACAGCTGTGTGGAACTGGGCCAGGCGGTCGCAGATCCACCTGCTCTCCCAGCAATTCAAGCTCTTGGGCGGATGCACACGCACACGCGGATGCGCTTGCAGAATGGTCGACAGGAAGTTGCGGCGATCCCCAACGGCATGGACAGGTTTACTCAACATCGTTGTGGTGGAGCCCTGCCTGTCACTGCGAGGGGCACTGACGTTGACCTTCGCGCAGCTGGTGCTGATACACCGTCGGCGAAAGTTGCCAGGAGACTTTGCCGCTTTCTGGGGTTCCCAACAGAACCCTTGTCTTGGGTGCACTTGAGAAGCTGCTAGTCACTAGTCCCAAAGCTAAATGGCAAAGCCTCGGGTCCCAAAGCATAGAGGCAGAGGAAAAGGTTCCACGCCACGCTTACAGCTATAAGTGCTGAAAGATTCCGCAACAGGACTGGCCTTTGTTGCAAAAGAGTTGGGGTCAAGGCAGTAATGTGAGAATCTCATTCCTAAACTGGATCTGAAATAAAGTATTCACCAAGTTCCTCAGTGCCCGATGGCCTTTTACTTTGTATGACAGCGTGATCAGGATCCATTTTACGAATGTTGAGAGCCTTGGAATATCACATTGTAGCGTGCCAAGGCCTGATCCTCTAAAACTTTCAGGGTGAATACATCAGGAAAAAGCTGACTTGTTCTATGGTAGAGCTCAGAGCATTCAAAAGCCAGAGACTGCAGAAGTGCAGGCTCGAAAGTCAGCGACTGCAGGTGTCAGGCTTCAGGAGCTCGCTGTAAGCTTCAGACATCGGAAAAGCATTGCTCAGAACTGCTTGAGGCCTCTATTTTCGTAGCTCCGGATTTAGCCCACCCCCCTTCATGGGCTTTTCCGGGGCTCATGGGGTTCTGAAATGTTCTAGTCCTGAGGAGTAGCTGAGGGGTAGCCTTGCAGGAAAGTTTTAAGAGAGACTATCGGCCCGAAGCTGCAAGTAAAGACGAGAGGCCATTTATAGCATCCTCACATTAAGCACTTTCGGGTGTTGGCTCGAGCTTGGAGTCACAGTAAGTTTGCACGTAAGCAAGCCTTTGCTACTTGAACTGCTGCAGCGTGGTGATGGCCTGTTACTGCTTATTGAAGCCTTTGGGCGCAATTTAAGCAGCTTGAGTTTGAGCGTTACGACGTCTTGATGCCTAGGAGACCTGGGGTGGAAAACGACTTCGCCGTTAGCAGGTACGGTGGCTTCCAGGCGACGGCGGTGTGCAGATTCGTCGGGAGGGCTCTGTAAAAGGCAAAAAGGCAGGCATGTCATGGTATATCAATACATGCTACTCAAGAAAGCTTGGACGCCTGGTTGAGGTAAAAACCAAGATTTGGAAGCAAGCCGCAACCACAGTATGATAAGGACACGTTGCCCTGCCGTGGACCGACATCCTTCAGCGTTCCAGGTGATGTAATACACATGCTATATTGTGGAAGTTTCCGTGCCGAGCTTTATGGAGCTGTATAAATGTACTCTTCTCTTTAGTGGCATGCACGCCTTTGGACGCATCTGGCTGGAAGGACTTGCCGGTGAAGCACACCTTCGTGCACTTCGATGGCCGAGATTGTGTCTTCCCCCGCTGCCAAAGCCTTCCAGACGCATCGCTGCTGCAGACAGCGTTACTGTTGGCCAGGTTGGGCGTAACCTGCGCGTGACATGAACAAAACAATAGTTGGAGTGGTACCTTGAGTCCTGACCTGGAGTGGGCCTTTCTGAGGTGTATCTTGGCGAGTACCCCGAGCTCGTTCACTGCGAAGCTCGCCGGCTGCCCTTGACCGACTCGACCCCCGAGGCCTGAACTGCAAAACTAAATCTTCCTGAATTTCGCACGCGCAGACTGCCCTTGTACATCAGAGGCTCATTCTGACAACCAGTACCTCATGTTCTTCATCGACAGTACGCTGACCATTGAGTTCCCTACTGGGTATCGTGCTTCTGCCAGCTGGAACCCAGACTTGCGAATTGACTTGCTGCTGGGGGAGGTGTCCATGTTGGATGCTACGCTGCCCTACGGATCATGCATGCTGGCAGATGAACTGACGCAACATCGAATTCCACTTGAGATGACGATGCGTGGCGCTGGCATCGGTCCCTGGAGCGTCCTGCGTGTGGTCCGTGTGGGAGCCCCAGCATCTGAGTACAGCACCATGGAAAGCTTCTGTACAAGTACCAGATAGTACCAGTAGCTGGGTACAACGCACCATCTTGAGCTGCGTAAGAAGCTGCAGTTGTGTGACCTCATCAAACATTACATCAACCCTTTTGCTGGAATTTCCGAGGTGCAGACCTTCAATCTGCTCGACAACCCAATGCAGCTGAAAGATTTCCAAGATCGCGCGAAGCTGCTGGCTCTACTACGCCGGCATGCACTGAGATCCAGCATCCCACTGTCAGTGCTTGCGACCAGTGCCCAACAGGACCCTGCTTGGGATCTGGGGCCTGTGAAGCTTAACATGAAGTTCCTTCGCAGAGTAGTTATGCAAGTGGATCCTGAAATCCATTTAGACCGAACGCACCACAGAGAACGGCTGCGTTTACGTCAAAATAGCCCATGATTTAGTCTATTTTAGGATTTTGCGCGCTCTTTTTCCACAGGGCATCTTCCCGCGCCTACAGACCTGCATGTGTAGAGTCCGATGCAGCTGTTCAGTGCTTCCCTCGTGCCTGCATTAGGTGGAGGGGGCTCATGTTCGGGCCGATGGCTTTTAGCTGCGCTACAGTTACTAATTAGAGGTTTTGACTAGTGCGTCACCTCGACGGAAAGCTGCACTTTGTTTTGTCCCTCTGCGACCATGTCAGCAGACGGATATGAAGTCAAAGTGTATCCGTATCCGTTCGGTGGATGCTAAGTCTTGCGCTCGAATGCTTGAAATCAAGTGTTTGCTAGAGCGGCTCTAGTAGAGCTAATGACCAATTTGAAGACATGGCGCCTAGGCCATGCGCAACTAAAAGTTGGAGCAGGGAATGAAAAGGGAAACATCACAAGTCGCAAGCCAGCAGCTTTGGCCGCCGTATAATCATGTCTCCATGCCAGCCTTTGGTTCATGCGCGCTGCTGCATGCTTTCCGGACGTATCCGCAGCATTTTTGGGTGAGTTTGGGAACGCGGAAGCTGCAGCCGTGCCAACACTGCCGACATGACATGCTTCCTCCAGGCACGGGGCTTGATCGCGAGAAAGTACCCAACCTCATCCCAATGCCCGAACAATGCCACAAAGTTGATGACATTATAACCCCATTATAACCCTATTATAACCCCATTATAGCCCTACTATAACCCCATTATAACCCTATGATAACCCTATTAAAACCTCATTGATGTCTGGGCTGGTTGAGGTTCTCGCCTGCCTTGCTGGAGTGGTTTTCGGCGCGAGCGCAGACTGCATGGTAGAAATTGGCGACTCCACCCTGACCTTAGAAGGCATTATCAGCAAGCGTTTTGCGAACAAGGAGTGGCAGGAGAACCGCACAGTGCCGGACGAGATGATCCGACAGATGTTGGAGTACGTTCTGAAAGCCCCAAGTGCCCTCAACACCCAGCCGGGCAGATTGATCATCGTCGACACAAAGGAGGGAAAAGAGCGGCTGGCAGCAGCCATGCACGGGCCCAATCCAGACCACGTCTTGTCATCCTCCTTCTCCGTTGTCTTCGCCGCCGACCCGGATCCTCCGCTTCCTGCCGATGCACCAGACTTCGCAGCCCGAGTGCTGAAGGAGGTGTCCCTGCACCAGGCATGCAGCCCTCGAGCATGGGCCGAGAAGCAGGTTATGCTTCAGGTAGCATATTTCCTTCTGGAAGCCACAGCGCATGGCCTGAACACGAACCCCATGGAGGGCTTCAAGTCACCTGCAGCAGTGCGAGAGGCGGTGGGCTTGCCTGACAACCATGGCGTAGCCGTCGTTGTGGCTGTGGGCTATGCAAAGCAAGCAGGATTCCAGGCTTCCAGACGGCCCTTGAAGGAGGTTTGCTTCCGAGGCCGCTTCGGCACTCCGTTCGGATCTGTGTGAGAGACTGGACTGGCCCAGTCTCTGATTTAATTCTTTTGTGCAGTTCTGACCAGAGGTATTTTGAGGAGTTGATTGAGGCTTCCGGTCTCCTCCAGCGCTTCCTGACGCCTCTTTACACTTGCCTCACGAGGCTGTATTTGCTGCGGCTCCAAATGCTGCAGCGCATAATTTTGTGTGATTACTGATTCTTCTGCAGACGCGGAGTTCAGGATATCTACTCATTGCTGAGTCCTGTAGGAAACGCAGGCAGAAGAGAGGAGGGAAGTCACATGCTGATGTGCTTCTGGCACGCGCTACTTCAATCTTGCCTTGAGAGTGTGCTGCAGGGCTTCTTTGAGCCTCATGGACAGGAGCAGCGCATTCGTCTTTGTCTGTGGGTGTCGCCTGCGCCAAGCAAGAAACTCGAGTGTGTCTGAGTACCCAGTCACGATAATAGCGCTGCAAATAAACAAAGATCCTGTATACTGTATACCTTCAGAATCCTTAAAGCAAAGCGCAGTGTAGTGTTGAACGCTGTATTGCCAGTCCCTGTCCCAAGACAGCATCCAGCCTCTACTCATGTGACCTGATGCATGGACCTGTGGCTGCTTGGGTATGCGTGCCGGAGGCACGGGGGTGCCGCTCTGTTGTGGTAGTCAGTTTCCGTGCTGTTGTGCTTGCAGCCTAAAGGGGCTGAGGCGAGATTCCCAAAACCCAACAGCCTCGGCCAAAGCTGACAATGCAAGAGTTTTATGTGTCTGTAGCATGGTGGATGCTTCTGCTGTAGTACCCTTCTACGTTAAAACAGCAACCGGGCCCGTCTTGTGACCTCTACCCTCGCCGCCCCTCTTGTCCATCACTGGCAAAGTTCAACCAAGTCAGGGCGTTCATTCCGGAGCAACCCTTGAATTCGGTTCCTTTTGCAGTGAGGCTCCCGTGCAAGCCCCGGCCTGCTGGTGCTGGGCCGTAACCCCAATCCCCATGTTGTGCGCGGTACTAAGGCAAAATGGGAGCTAAGGACCGGGTGTTCTTCAGGTATGGTTCGGACACACAACCTTCATAATATAAGTATTAAATCATTGTACACCCCCCCCATTGAATGCCGTAAAATCTCCCCTTCCTATCTCTGGAAAGCCCCTACATGATTCTTCTGAAATCCTGTAGGACCTCTGATTGATTCTCATGAGGGGAAGAGACATCCACAGGATGACGTCATCGCGCCTTCCATACGCGAGACGGCGACCGATGCGGAGCACTGCAAGAGGCCAGAGACTGCCACGGACTCGGCACGGTAGAAGCCTGAATGATTATCAATGGGATTCCTTAACAATCCTACCTACTCAGAGCACAGGGTAGAAAACTCCAAAGACCGTTTCTAACTGAGATCAGCCATTTACGTTGCAGAGTTGAATTTATCCGACGTTCGATATATTTGTAGTCAGCATTGCTCACGCGGTTGATAACGTACTTTCCGTCCATGAAGGAAGACGTACCGCAGGACTCCTGAAAGGGTCCGATTGTGTAAGCTACTTGCCTGAGACCGTTTTCCAAGCTCAGGGAACATGGCTAAGGCAGGAGTCAATGAGATTTCCTACTCTGGCACGCCGCGGCGTACAGCCTGAGTCGCACGTCATCACCAATTCATCATGCTCTTGACAGACCCGCATCCCCGCCCAATTCCTCTAGGAGCTTTAATAAGCATAAAACCTTGAACTATGGGAGTTATATATACCGTGGAAGGCTTGCGTGGCTGACTTGGATCGGGGCCGCAAGCCCAGTTCCAGTTGTCATCACAGTTCTTACATATCAGGTTGGCCAACATGAGGGCGGTTTCTGTGGGTCTTCTTGTAACATTCGAAATGTGTGTTGTCAAGGAGCCTCCCGTTTTGTGCCAGGCTTTTCGAGAAATCCAGGTTTGCAGGTTCAAAAGGCACTATGGCCAGATCAGAAGGCTGCTGCTGTTGATCGGCAAGTGCCCAAACCCCAGGAATGACGGCTGCTCTTTTAAGCGTAGATGGTGCAAGATGTTCTATCAACAGTGTCAGACGGTAGGCTTCAGAACACTCCGATAGGTCTAGGCAATGCAGCTGGAACGAGGATGCTCCACCAGTTTGTGTCAACAGGTGCCAGGTGCAGAACGTCTTTGCTCTTGGCAATCTTCCTGAAAGCTCCAAAGCAAGGTCAAGCGAGATCATGAAACCTCAAACCAACCTTAGGCCTGCTGACTGCGCAATGAGAGCTGATGGCAGTGTTGCTGCGGTGTCTGCAGCTGATGGTGCTGTGAAGATGCGTCCAAAAGACTCGCATGGCCTTTTTGGGAACCTGGGTGGCTTTGTGCTCCAGAAGGTGTCATGATAAAAGTGTGGTGCACGGTACCAGTTTTTTCCTGCGTGGGCGCCAGTTCAGTCAGCATGGGTCCAGGGGCTGGTGACAGCCCAGTGCATGATTCAAGAAAGGGTTTGAGGGATGGGTGGCAGAGGGTAAGGAGAGGGGGAGAACTGGAGGAGGTCGGAGTGAGTGGACTTGAAGTATCGTGGACTGGAAGTCAAGTCATTGCTAGGGTGACTGAAGTCGGGCTGCGGTCCTGAAGGAAATGCGCGTGTGCGCTACGTGGTACTTCAGGTTTGTCGGCCTTTCAGGTGCACTCAGCGTGCACAAGCACCACTTGCAGATCCATGGATTTCCATGAATGACCCCCGTCGCCATGGAGTCTCAAGTGAGAGTTGGTGGGAAGTGCTTTGCCCTGATAGAGCATGGATGATGATGAATCTATTCCTGTTCCTTGTGAGCAAAGTCTTGTTGAGCTGACGCCTGAGATGTTGACTACATTTTACGAACTGCCGCATGTTGGCTTCCAGTCTCAGGTCAATCCTGCTTTGGCTCGTTGGCGTGTTTTGTGCAGACCTCAGTGCGATCGAGTGATGAGCCACTTCCATGCCTGTGCGAACCGGTTGCAAGGTTGTTGCCAACCCGCCGAAGAAGGAGACCGTGATGAGTCAATGGAGAAGTGAATGGTTGTCCACACCACCTCCGGCACTCCAGTTCGGGCGGTCCCTTCTTGGAACTCAATGCCTCAAGTCTTCCGCTGACCGCGCCAACAAAGAGGAACAGGACTTTTCCGAGTCTTCGACCACGTCTCACAAAGTATCGCCCACGACTTAGGGGTCGTTGGCCGATAGAACCAGCTGGAGAAAACCACCTTCTTGCGTGGGCCATTGCCCATCCATCATCCGATAGAATCCAAAGCGCCGCGTATTTTGAAAAGCTGCTGGCGAATTGAGAGCACGTAGCCCTCACGTACCGCTTGGTGGCCTGAATTTTGCTGGGTGTTGAATTTGCTCAGATTCCTTTCGGCTGCAAGTGGCTGCGTGCCAGAGTCAAGTTCCAGTAGTCCAGTAGTTGATGGAACCCTGTTGTCCCGCATGTCGGAGCTGATTTTTTTCAGGAACTTGGCTGTTGCCATCTACCGCCATCCTGAAAATTATGCTGCTACCCACGTGCCGCAATCCGAAAGAAGACGGCGGGCCTTCTCCTTAGCTTGCCTGGGACAGTCCACTACATTAGTTGGGTTGGCATGGCCTGGAAGGTGCGTACCTTTTACCAAGTCGACGTGCCGAAGATGGTGGCTGACATCCACCGCAAGGCCGGGATTTGCCATGCCTCATTAGGAGGGATCTCCATGGATGCGAGATGCAGGCAGCCGCGCAGCGTGAGCAGGTTTGCTGTGTTGCCCAGGCCAGATGGCTCTGGGTATATTATAGTAAGATCCCCATATACCCATATTCTATCTACTTGAGGGGACGATAGCTGCTCAAACATTTCACTCATGGGCTCACCGACCTATCTTTTGGTTGTCGTGGCGGCGCCCTATTTGCAGGCAATTTCTGAAGCGTTTGCCTGGTGCTGCAGCCCTACGACGGACACAAGCGCAGAGCTCTTGGTCTGAGGCAAGTGAAATGCCAGGATTCTTCCAGTGAAGCCCATTCAAAATTGTTGACAGGAGCGGGCCTGGAGCTTCCTTCTCTGGTCCCGCACGCTAGGTGGAGAACGCGTGCCCTCACCTGCAGCCCTGCCTGGTTCTCAGCTTCTTTAGCTGAGGATGTTCGGAATGGCGATGGCTTCGATTTTGTGCCTGCAAGCTGTATTCGGAGTGCTGAATTAGCAGGGCTGTTAGTTAGCAGGAAGCTCGCCGTATCTGAGGCCTGCGCGGAGAGTTCAACTGCATGCCAGTAACTTGCAAGCCTGAGACTCAAAGCGTTAAAGCTTTGCTGGGATGATGTGTGTTCACATTCCAGACGTGTTGCCTCTGAACGGCCAGGTGGAGCGAGCTGCGGGAATGGGAAAACGATGGGATCTCTGGCCTTCGTACAACAAAGAGGCCCGTGGAGATCCCAATTAGGGCAAGTGCAGCAATTTCAATGATTGTGCCTATCTCTGCAGGTACTTCAGCCTTCCCGCTCCTCATTTGAGGGAAGCACGCGCAACCCCTGAAAGGTTTGGCATGGCTTTGAAGGGCTCCAGCTAGACGGGGCAAGACACAAATTGTATGCTGCGCACGGTGCCGGCACGTGGCACAGCCTGTGCTCTGATTCCCTCAGCTGGGCTTACAGGCCAACTGGCATGACCTGTTTCTTGTGCTGCTCAGTGGCCGGAGAGGTGCTCCAGGCAGACCGAATTCAGGCTCAGCTGTCGGCTGAGGAGGTGTGCTGGGATTTGCCGTAGCTGACGCTGGAGCATCATCGGCCTGCAATGACTGTGGGGCGGCTGCACTTGCTGACTCCTCAGCAGGCTCGGAGGCAACTGATGGGGCAGTGGGCACACGCCATGTTCGGATGACATGGGCCGCCGTTCTGCAATTGGGGCAATCCAAGCTCACGTACTCTTCCTCGAAGCTTGCGCTTGTTTGCATGGCCAATTCACCAAGACACACACTGTGGAAGCATGACCGCAACTCATGCGTGAGACCAGGTCTCCGGAAGTAAACTCTTCCAAGCACACTGTGCACGTGGACACAAAGCCCTGAAAGGCAGGGCGTGGTGTGTTCTGGGAAGACTGCTGGGATGCAACTGCAGCCGGCCGCTGCGGCCCCGATGTGGCACGAAGTGCGTGCACCTGACCAAGCACGGACACTGCTGTGCTTGCGGCTGGCGCCTGGACTGAATTGATGCAAGGGCCAAGTGCTCGGGCGGGCCCCTTGCGTGGCCTGCAGGACCCCTTGTGCGGCCTGGAGCTGCCACAGGTGTTGGCGCCATGCCGGAATACTGCATGAACACCGATGACACTGACTGCTCGGTGCGAGGCTCGGCAGCATTCCTTCTTTGACCTTCATGCTCAAGGCGAGCTTGAGTGGCCGCATGTACCTGTGCAAATGCAGTCTGAGTGGTCTGGAACCATGCTGGGGCTTGCACAGGTGATGCTGCTGCTTTGTAGGCTTCTGGCACAGGGGGAGGGGCGTAGGTGGACCTAAACCCCACAGTTTCCATGAAACTATTCTGGGGGCCTACATCGCCTATGCCTGGAACTACCCACCTGTGGTGCTGAACCTGCGGTGCACCTGTTGGCTGCGACTCCTCGCGCTCCTGCAAGAGAACGAAAGATTGATAGGTTTGGGGCGGGTCTCGCAAAAACGGATAACTATTTGAGATTTCCTGATCTTGTTATTGAAAATGAGCAGGCGAAATTTAAGCATCTATCCAAATTTCTGGATAGGCCGCCTTCTGATAAGCCTATAGAGGGGGAATTGCTGGACCGTTCCCTGGGATAAATTCTTTGGATAAGATCGTCGAGATTCTTCGTAATTTGCAAGTGGGAACGAGCCTTGGGCCGGACGCACTTCATGCGGCAGGATATTAAGGATCCTCCTTTTGTATTGGTCCTTCACGATTTCATCTAATTGATAATGAATAGACGCCAATTTATTTCCGTCTGTGGTCTGCAAGAAATAATTTGATTGAGGCCGGGAAAAATGATCTTATGAGGAAATCGATTCTATTTGATGAAGATATTAGATCTCCAACTGCATTTGATATAAGATTATTTTCAAAAAATTATATTCTTGATCAGGGCTATGATTTGCGGTGGCATTCCCAGGGGGGGGGGGTCGATTTGCGAGAGTACGAGGTTTAATTGTTCCCTGCGAGGAGATCTGCGGGTTGGAGGTATTCGAAAGGATAAATAGGAATAGATATCGATTTATCTATATTTTATTCTAGAAAGATATTCGTAATATCTTCAATGAATTCGAATTAAGATCACTATTTGAGAGATTATATTGACCTTACCTATGTAAATATTAATAGTTACGATGATGTCAATAGTAATATGATGCACGCAAATGATATTCGTTATTTATTTCAAAATTAATAAGGATATTCGGTTATGGGATCTCTCTTTTAATCGACGGGGGGTTGACGGGGTCTGGGAGATCGAGGAATTTAGACGATCGCATGCCATCTCCTCTTAGAATTCGAGCTGGATTTATTTAATGATATTTTCGCAGGAAAAGATATCTAAGATATTTTGGAAGACCCAAATAGGAATTGGAGACGATCTCGAAATATGATATGAGATTCGAGCTCTAGAAATAGATTTTCTCCTTATTAATGGGTAAAGAATTTCACGGAAATTTTGCGATATTCTAAGAAATCAGAGAAATAATCTTCCGGAAATAATTAATATCATCGTCTTGAAGGCGCCTATCACGCGAATTATTCTTTTTCTTCAGGATTTTCGATTTGAAAAGGAAAGCGAATTGGAATAATTATATTCTTGAATTGAGGTTATATCGTAGAAATACGATATCTTTTTTTATTGCGCCAGATTCCTTAATTCAATCGTATTCAATATTTGCGTTGCTATTATCTATGAAATCATATCCGGATCTTTCTTGATTATTTCTACGAACGATATAAATATTTTATGCAAAATTTTCTCGATGAATTCCTGGATGATTCTCAATGATTATCAGCTCGTCTTCCCATACGATTCGGGGATTTGGATCTTGGCATGGATTGATTTGAAAAAATCTTCGGACGATCCAATTGATTGATCTTTCCTATCTTTTCCCGAAACTTTCTAATCAATAATCAATTAATTATAGGATGAGGATCTTCTTCAGAGATCTTGTCAAGTTTCAATTTATTCTTCAATATCTTCTTCCGTTCATAAATCGATTGATTATGATATTTCGATAAATCGACGTCGATAAAATTGGGATATCCAAGGAATTCTTGAATTTGATATATGATATTCTCTTTGATTCATATTCAAATAGGCTTTTATATTCAATCAGGCTCGCATGCGAATTTATACTATTCTGAAGAGAAATAAATGCCTATAGATAATCCCTAATCTAATTTCCGATATCTTCTTCCAAAATAGGATTCTGAATGATATCGTAGATATGCGATTGAATATTTAATTCTCCTAGATAATAAGATTTGCCCGCATTTCCGCTAGGGATAGGATATATGAAGATTCTATATCCTAGCTTATATGGGATCGGATCAGAATCAACTGATAGATAATAATTTACGGAATATTATCTATCATTATATAGAGATGAGATAAAGATAAATTCTATTTCAGAAGGGATTCATCTTTTGCCATCTGATCTCCAAATGAGATCTGACGATATCTTAGCGATCGTATTAGAGATTTCTTCATAATAGAAATTCTTCTGCCTAATTTCTGATTTCGTAATAGTCTCTCTATCTCTTATTATTTCTTTATCATTCGCTGGCAAGAACGGAATTGGCTATTATTGATCGTTATGAATTTTCTAAATCCCAATTCCGATATTCTGAAATATGATATTAAATATTGAATTTATGATAGGAATCGATTGATTTAGAGATATCCGGGAGATTGAATCAAGATAATCAGAAATTTATAGATTTTTTCTTTATCAGATATATAACGATAGATTCTATCAGAAACGAATATCTTCATAACGAGAATTACGAAATCATAATTCTATTGATCTTCAATGAGAGATTCATATGATCATATAATATAGAAATTTCGTCGAGTTCTCCTCGAAGATCTGTTCCGCAGAATGAGGTCGAAATCTATCGATATATATTTATTGAATAAATATGCTATCCTATCAGAATAGATCCCGGCGGCGCAAAATATTTCTATAGATATTGAGAAAATCGGAAGAAATCGATTTAATGATGAATTCGCATAGAATTCATTTCATTTGAAGATTGATTCTTCTATATTATTTTTCTTTCGTATTATATCTTTCTTCTCGTCTAATTTGTCGCGGTCAGCGGAAGAATTACGTAATCAGAAGGCGGATGTCATTTCTTATTAATATTTATCTTCTAATTTTCCAACGATTTCGACGTCTTCGTATCGAATATCGATGATAATCTTATAATAATAAAATTTTCATCTAGAGAAAATTCAAGATAAAATTTCTCTATATTCATTTCCTAATTCGAAAATCTTTCTCGATATAATATATTTCATTATTCATATCTAGAAAAATATTAACGATATCACGAGAAAAATAGAATAAATAATCCAAATTAAAATCTATATCAAATGAATTATCGATTGATCTAGAATTGAAATTATATCATATTGATTACGAAATAGAAACGGCAATATCATCAAATTATATTTTTCGAAATCATATCCGAATAACTTGCAACATATTCTACGAATCATCAAATTATATCTACTCCAATACGACATATATATATATCATTCATAATTATGATTTTTCTAAATATATTTCAAAATATTCTAATAAATTCAAATAATTCTCATTTTTCCTTTCATTTAAATTCAAATATTTAATCGAATTAGCATAATATTATTAGAGGCGGCCCTCATATATAGAATAGATTCTTTAAATTAAGCATCTTTTAAAATATATCTTTCAAATATTAATATATTCCAATATTGAAAATTAAATTCGAATTTCATATATCATTTTATAGAAGTATTATTTTATTATCATAATGTCTAGAAAAAATCATAATATTTATCAATTTCTTATCGAATTCCTATAATATAGAATATAAATTCTCAATAATAATAAAATATTATATATATATAAATATATAATTAATATAAAATATTTCCAACGATAAATATTTTCGATAATTTTTAGTATATATTAATAATAATAAATCATTTTTTTTTCCATAATTCTATATCTTATTACCTGAAATATAAATTTCTAGAAATTCGTTCTTCTTTCAAGATCTAATAAAATATAAATCAAAAAGAAATATATATTTTTCCTTTAGATTTTTATCATCAATATAATTGCTAAATTAATTTTCGAAAATATTAATAATTATAATAAGATTCTTATTTTTAAGAATTATCCTTCTCCTCCTTATTATAAGACCTACTATATTCAACGAATAGAAAATTTTGAATTCATAAGCTATAATCTTAAGAATACATATTTTCAATATAACCTAAAGAATCTATATCAGATATTCTCCCTAAAATCGAAAAATAGTCTATCCCAATATATCTTATAATTTCAAATAAATAGAATATATATAATTCGTGAAAATAAAATAATTCAATTCTATTCGGTAGCTAATAAATATCAAAATTCAAGAATTTATTAAAATTAGAATATCATTTTTAATATATTCAAGTAGAATATAGAATTCAAATTTAATAGAATTTTCATCTTTAATCTAAATTCTTAAAATAATATCATTGAGATTTTATATAAAATATAATTGAATATCAAATCTAGAAAAATCAAATCAGAAATAATTTTATCTCATATTCAATCTTCTCCAATATCAGGTCAATTTTAGATTCATCAATTACAAACGGCATTTCAATTTATATCATATCGAAATCTTTCGAGCCCAAATCTATATGTGATACGTGCAATATCGTTTGTAACGCGGTCCTCTCCCCCTTCCCTTCCCATATCATCCTGCCATATTCCTTCTGTTCCTATTATGATATTCCGCACAAAAGCCGCGATTCTTTATCCCCAGGAATCCTGATACTTTGATCCCTCGCCGATCGCCGTCTTTCCTCTTATCCCTTCTATATCTTTTTTTCTTGCCTCCTTCCTTTAAATTCATCTTGTAAACACCCCCGGCCGACTCCCCCTAAACTATACCTTCCTGCGAACATCTCGGATTCCGGCCTCTGCTCCCTTTTCTAGACCCCTCTAAACTCGTCTTCTATATGACCCTCCAGCGCTCTCGGCCCTTCTTAATTTGTTTTCCTCTAAAACATCCTCTTTCTTAATTTGTTTTCCTTTAAAATCTCCTCTTATAGACCCTCTCGCAAACACCTCAGCCTTTGCTTGGCCTGCATCCTTTCAAATTCTCTTCTAGACCCTCCCACGAACATCTC